GCATGATATGTACATTATGCACCAATAAAGCTTGGGGGGAAAATAATATTTAAAATAAATTCAAAAATTCAAATTACTATCCTTTGAATTTTACCACTGAACTACTTTTCATCTCTCTTTCTACCCATCCCTACAAAGCCACTAACTGTAGCACTGTCTTAATAGCTTTTCAAAAGATGCTAAATATTGTGATCTTAAAATAAAGAAGAGAATGGCTTTTGAAAAGCTGTGTTTCACTGTTTCTTATAAAATGTGTTTAAATATCTACCCACAAGTTTCAATTTTATTTTTTTAGGTTTCCAATTTTCAAAGAAATTAAACTTATGTAAGTCTGTGGGGGGGAAAGTTTACCTATCTCTAAGCCTTGAATCCTCGCTGATGAATTTGTAGACTCCTACAGTGCAATTACCATGAAACGGTAGTAAATGCACAAAAGATGAAGATATTATGGAAATTTTCACTGACCTCTGGGTCTGTCCTTAATATTAATCATCTGTTAATAACTCATTTATTTCATGCAAAACAAGAGGAAAAGAATGCCCAATTACTTCAGTGTAAATTCCTGCAAAACACTTCCATAAGCAAATCATAGTTTTTCCATGATCATAGCATATTTCCTCAGAAGAAGTTCTTACCCAGCCCTCTGGCTGCAATATCAGTCGCGAAGAGTATTGCAGCTCTCTTGCGGACAAATTCATTATAAACTTCCATTCTTCTCATCTGCTGCTGCCGACCATGGAGGGCAAGGAGAGAAATACCAGGACGCAGCCGACAGAATGCTCGATACAGATATTGAACCTGGGAAATAGCAACAAGCAAACAAAAAAGTGATGTGGTCATTTCCTGGTGGCTGCACTAAAGCAAGCTTAAAGAACAGCAGAAATACAACAAAAGGAACAAGTGCAGAGTAGAGAAGGGGAAACGTCATCTGACAGTGTGGTCCTTACATTATTTCCCCCACTTTTAAACTGCTAACGGAAATTTTCCCAAACTTACGTATGTATT